GGCAGCAAGCGCAGAGGTGCTTTAGCTGCTGCTGCAGTTGCAGCTGCTGCTGTCGCAGCTGTTGATGCATCTGCTGTTGCTGTTGCTGCATCTGCTGTTGCTGTTGCTGCATCTGCTGTTGCTGTTGCTGCTGCTGCATCTCCTGCTGTTGCTGCTGCCGCATATGTTGCTGCTGCTTCTGTTCTTGCTGTTGAGGCTACTGTCATCTGTCCTGTTGTTGGTACTGCTGCTTTTTGTTGCTGCCGCTGCTGCTGCTGCTGCCCGCTGTCCTGCTGCTGCTGCTGCTGCTGCTGCTGCTGAGGTTTGGTGACATGGGTGTTTGTGTGGGTGCTGTAGGACTTAGCCTACAGCAGCAACGGGAGTTCTGCAGTTGCTGCTGTTGGAGACGGCGCAGCAGCAGCAACAGGAGCAGCAGCTCTGCAGCCTGCTGCTTCTCCTCCTGCTGCCGCAGCAGCGAGCACCGCAGCAGGAGGCGTTGCTGGAGCCCGCCGGCGCAGCAGCGGCAACAGCAGCAGCAGCAGCAGCAGCAGCCGGATAAGGGCAGGCTGGGGTTCTGCTGCTGCTGCAGTGCTGCGAGTTGACTTGCGAGAGGAGATTTGCGTTATTTGCTCGGAGGTGCTGCTGCAGCAGCAGGAAATAGCCTCCCTCCCAACCTGCTGCCACCTCTTCTGCTTCGCGTGTCTCTACAAGTCAGTCTGCTGCTGTTGCTGCTGTTGCTGTTGCTGCTGCAGTTGCTGCTGCTGCGGGTGAACGTGGTGCCGCTGAGCTGCTGCAGTTTCGTTGCGGGCATTCTGCAAGTTTGCACGCGTGCGTAGCCGTGCTGCTGCTGCTGTTGCTGTTGCTGCTGCTGCTGCTGCAGGTGGGCTTCTATAAGCAGCAGATGTCCTCTCTGCTCCACGGCCTTTACTACCATTGTTCGTCGGCGCGTCAGCGCAGCAGCAGCAGCAGCAGCAGCTGCTGCTGCTGCAGCGAGCCAAAAGGCTGCTGTGAAAGACGATCCCCAGGGAGGCCCGGTGAAGACTGAGCAGCAGCAGCAGCAGCAGCAGCAGCAGCAGCAACAGCAGCAGCCGATCATCTCGTTGTCTTCTGGTTCTGTCTCAGCACCCCAACTGAAGCAGCCAAGCAGCGGCAGTACGGAGACAGCAGCAGCAACAGGAGCAGCAGCAGGAGGAGCAGCAACAGGAGGCGAAGCATGTTTGATAGGGTTGCAGCTGGTTGAGGAGGTGCCGCTTCCTCCTCCTGTGGAGCGGCGACGGGGATCGGGATCGGTGGGATCGGTGGGATCGGTGGGGTCCTTTGGGGGGTGCGAAGTGTGTGGGCAAGATAATGATTGGAGTCGGCTGCTGCTCTGTGATGGCTGCAATGAAGCTTTTCATATATATTGTCTCTCTCCCCCGCTTCCTGCTGTTCCGCAGGGAGACTGGCGCTGCAGCAGGTGCAGCACGCCCGGGCGCAGACGCCAGCAGCAGCAGAGGCAGCAGCAACGGCAGCAGCAGCGGCAGCAGAGGCAGCAGCAGAGGCGACAGCGGGGGCGAAGGGGACAGCATAGACAACGCCAAAGAGACACAACGGAGCCCCGTGCACGACGTACACGCAGCAGCAGCAGCAGCAGCAGCAGCAGCCGCGCAGCAGCAGCGGGGCTAGAACCGGGGAGAAGACCGAGGAAGAGGATTAAGAAAGCAACGGAGGAGACTGCAGCAGAAGCTGCAGCTGCAGAGGGCACCAACAGCAGCAGCAGCAGCAGCAGCAGCAGCAGCAGCAGCAGCGCATTGGCGAATTTCGATTCCTTTTCTCTCAACAGCAGCGCGAGGCCGACTACTGGTGGGCGCCTTCAGCGAGTGGGGCGGAGGGACAGCAGCAGCAGCAGCGGCAGCAGCAGCAGCAACACCAGGAGGAGGGCCCCCCTGCGGGTTCTGAGGAGGAGAGGGGGCCCCAGGAGACGACGCCACTCCTCCAGCGGCGTTGAGAGCTGCAGTGATGATTCTTCTGATCTTCACGACTTCATTGTACACAGCAGCAGCAGCAGCAGCAGCAGCAACAGCAGCAGCAGCGATACCAGCAGCAGCAGCAGCGATACCAGCAGCAGCAATAACAGCAGTGACAGCGATAGCTGCACCGAAGTCTCCCCCAGAAACAACCGACCGACGAACTGCAGCACCACCAATAGAAGCAGCAGCAGCAGCAGCAACAGCAACAGCAGTGCAAGCAGCACCTGTGATCGGAGCAGCAGTATTGCAGCGGGCAGAAGAATCTTGGGCACCCCAATCGGGCCACAGAGCAATCAGCAACAGCAGGAGCAGCAGCAGCCACTGCAGCAGCAACAGCAGGAGCAGCAGCAGCCACTGCAGCAGCAGCAACAGCAGCAGCAACAGCAGCAGCAGCAGCAGCAGCAACGACAGGTAAACCCACAGCAGCAGCAAAAGCCAACAGTAGCCGCTCGAAGATGCAACGGGGTGCAGGCGCTGCTGCGTCGTTATTTTGTCGCAGCACCCGGCAGAAACGGTGCAAACAGCAGCAGCAGCAGCAGTAGCAGCAGCAATAGCAGCAGCAATAGCAGCAGCAGCAGCAGCAGCAGCAGCAGGGCGGCAGTGTAAGGGAGAGATGGGGGCCCCCCCCAGAGCGTTTAGGAGGGCCCCTCAGAAGGTTAAGGGGTTGGGGGGGGGCCTCAGAGGGTTTAGGGGGCCCCCACACTGCTTGAGGGGGCCCCAGAGGGTTTAGGGGGGGGCCCCCAGAGGGTTTAGGGGGGCCCCCCCACCGGATATCTTTTAGGGAGGGATATGACGCTTTGTGTATTTGAACGGCGCACAATTTTACACCGCTTTTAAGTCTTTTTCTCTTGTTGCTGCTGCTGCTGCTGTTGCAGTTGTTGCAGCAGCGGCTGCATCTGCTGCTGCTGTAGTGTGTACATGCCTTTGCTGCTGCTGCTGCTGTTGTTGCTGCTGCTGCTGGTCCCGTTTGCTTGCATCAGTGTAGCTGGTGTTTGTGGGGTGTGGGGTGCAAGGCCCCACAACAACGCGCATGCAGTTGGTGCTGCAGCAGCAAATAAGAAGTAATAAGAGCTGTAAACCAGAAGAATAAACACAAAGGTGAACAAATAACGATGGAGACAAATGAGATGAATAAGACGACAAAAAGAGAGGGAGAAGAAAAAATAAACAAATAAACGAAAAGATAGAAGAGACAGATAAAGACGAACAGAGAGGGCAGCAGCAAACAAATAGAGAAGACATAAAACAAAGGAGGAGACAAATAAAAGAAAAAGAAGAAGAGGGGACGAATAAATAAATAAATATATAAAGATAAAAGAAACCGATGAAGAGAAAACAAACAATAAACAAATAAAAGAGACAGATAAAGACAATAAACAAGTAAATAAATAAAAAAATAAAGATGAAGGAGACAGCTGCAAGCAAAATAAACAAACAATAAACAGACAAGGTGAAGGAGACAGTTAAAGACATAACAAACAAACACTAAATAAAGGTGAAGGAGACAACTGCAAGCGAAACAAACAAACAAATAAAGAAATAAATAAAGATGAAGGAGACAGGTGCAAGCAAAATGAACGAACAAACAAACAAATAAATATATAAATAAAGATGAAGGAGACAGGTGCAAGCAAAATATACAGTCCGAGATAGTATAGTGGCTAGTATTTCCGCCTGTCACGCGGAAGACCCGGGTTCAATTCCCGGTCTCGGAGTTTTCAATATTTTATTTTTAAATTTATTGTCCGTCTTTAAAGCATTTAATATCTTTAATATACCTCGAATATCTAATTAATATATTCTTTTTATTTTTATTTTCTAGCTTTTTTGCTTATTTTTTATCTTGTTTACTCCTCCACTGCCACCGCTGCCGCGTCGTCAGCGCGGGGGCCCCCGCCCCACAGCTGCTGAGGGTCCTTCCTTGACTGCATGCAGCAGCAGCAGCAGCAGCAGTAACAGAAGTAGAAAACTGCTAGATAATCTTCTTTCTTGAATTAAGTTTTTAGTTTAATACCTCAGCAAATCCAAGACCAGAGGCGAGCTCGGGTGTACGTACAGCCATTCATACTCTCCTCTAACAGAGCCGAGACTTCTATCCCTCACTGCATTTGTTGCTGTTGCTGCTGCTGCTGCTGCAGGAGCAGCAACAGCGCCAGCAGCATTAGCAAGAGCAGCAGCAGCAGCAGCAGCTGTTGATGCTGCAGAAGCAGTAGAAGCATATTGTTTGTGTAGCGCCTGCTACATATATATATATATATATATATATATATATACTTCTTTGCTTCTCTGTGGTGAGTGTTAAGGTTTTCAATGGGCACCCCACAACTCGATCCTCCCGATCCCGTCGATCCCGTCAGCATGCCTCGCGAGGCGCTGCGGGTACTGGAGCTGTACAGCGGAATTGGGGGTATGCACTGTGCGTTGCTGCATGCAGCGCAGCTGCGAGCCTTCAGACGCAGCAGAGGTCTCCATCTAGACAGATGCTGCTGCGGGGGGCCCCCAGCCCCTCTGGTTCTTCCCCCAGGCACCACAGCAGCAGCAGCAGCAGCAGCAGCAGCAACAGCAGCAGTGGGGGCGGCAGCAGACTCAGCTCCCGCAGCAGCAGCAGGTGCAGCAGGAGCAACTTCAGAAGCAGAATATATATGCCGATGCCTACTGGGCACGCCTACAGCAGCAGCCAGCTCTTGTAGGCTCTCGCAGCAGCAGCTTACTGCTGCTGCTATTCCTACAGACGGCAGCAGCTTCTGCGTTCATCCGCTGCTGGAGTCTACGCGGCCAACAGCAGCAGCCTCCCCCTCAGCAGCAGCACCTGCTGCAGCCGCTGGCAGCAGCAGCAGCAGGAGCAGCAGCACGGAGCTGCCCTTCCAGGTTGTTGCTGCGGTTGACGTCAGCGATGCAGCATGTGCTGTGTACCGCAGCAATTTCTGCAAGCCGTCCTCGCCTGCGCAGCAGCAGGATCATGAGGAGCGGGAGGAGCAGCAGCAGCAGCAGGCGAAGAAGCAGCAGCAGAAGAAGAAGGTGCTTGAGCTAAGCAGCAGGAGCAGGAGGAGCAGCAGCACTGTTTGTTTAAATATCGGTATAGAGCAGCTACCGATTTCTTTCTATGAAAATCTGCATGCGCATGCATGGCTGATGTCCCCCCCATGCCAGCCATTTGCTAGGCGAGGGCTTAAAGAAGATAGCTCTGATCCTCGTTGCTGCTCTTTGCTGCAGCTGCTGCAGGTGCTGCAGCAGCTTCCTGCTGCTGCCTTACCTCGGTTTCTGCTGCTGGAGAATGTAGGGGGATTTGAAGGGAGCCGAGCTTGCGAGATGCTGCTGCAGCTGCTGCTAGACATCCTTGGCTATCAAACTGTTTATTTGCTGCTGCTCAACCCCCTACACTTCGGTATACCCAACTCACGCTCACGCTGCTTCCTGCTCGCTCGCAGAGTTCATCATAACGACGGCCGCTATGCTCAATGGCTGCGTGATAATGCTCCTTATACAGACGCTCCTGCTGCTGCTGTTGCTGCTGCTGCTGATGCAGCAGCTGCTGCTGCGAAAGAGCATCCTTCCGCTGCTGATAAACGTGCCCCAGAGGCTGCTGCTCCTGCTGCTGCAAACGGTGCTCCCGAAGCGGTTCCTGCTGGTGCTGCTGCTGGAGCTCCTGCTGCTGCTGCTGCTGCTGCTGCTGCTGGAGCTCCTGCTGCTGCTGCTGCTCCTCTGCGGGGGAAGAGACCTGTGGTGCTGGATCGTATCCCAGGGCTTTATTCCTCTCAAGCCTTTTTCTGCTGCCCCATCTGGCCGCTGAATGCATTTCTTGATGCTTCTTTGCCTCCGCGGAGCTGCAGCAGCAGCTGCAGCGCCGCAAGCAGCAGCAGCAGCAAGAGCTCCAGCAGCAACTGCAGCACCAACAGCAGCGCTACGGTGTTTCGAGGACTCACCGAAGACACCTTATCCGATGTCGAGCAGCAGCAGCAGCAACAGCAGCAGCAAGAACAGCAGCAGGAGCAGCAGGAGCTGTCTGCGTTGGAGTTAAGCGAGGAGCAGAAGCAAAAGGCATGGCATATGGTAGACCTTGTCTGCAGCAGCAGCAGACGCAGCAGCTGCTTCACGCGGAACTACGGGAGGAGCGGCCTAGCTCAGTACGGCAGCATTTTGCTGCTAGACGACCCACAGAAACTGCTGCAGCAGCAGCAACAGCAGCAGCAGCAGCAGCAGCAGCAGCAGAAGCGCAACGTGGAGCTGCATGATATTCTTCCGCCTGAGACCCGCTGCCGCTTCTTCTCTGTTCGAGAGCAGCTGAGGCTTCACGGCTTTCCTTCCTGGTTCTCCTTTCCTTGCTGCAGCAAACAGCAGCAGCAGCAGCAGCAGCAGCAGCAGCAGCAGCAGCACGTGAAGCAGCATAGGGGTATGATAGGCAATAGTTTGAATGTTTATCTTGTGGGAATGCTCATAGATTTTTTAATTGGGGATGATGATATTTAATTATTTATTTATTTTATTTATTTAGTTTAATTATTTTATTTAATTCTTTTTACTTTTATCTCTTTTTACTTTTAACTCTTTTTGTTTTATTATTTAATTCTTTTGTTTTATTCTTTTTCTTTTAGCTCTTTTTAGTTAACTCTTTTTTCTTTTAACTCTTTTTATTTAACAACACATTTCCCCTTCAATTCTTTTTATTTAATTCTTTTTGTTTAATTCTTTTAATATCTTTTTATTAATTTCTTTTGTTAATCTGTTTTATTTATATATCTTCTTTAAAACCCCTCTCTTTCATTCTTATATCCTTTAACTCTTTACTTTTTTTAATACTCTTTTCTTCTAACTCTTTTTTTCAGCTCTTTTCTTTTTGTTCTATTTATTTAATTTGTTTCTTGTTAATCCTTTCTTTTTTAATTCATTTCCTTTGATTGCATTAATTTATATCTCTTTATTAAATATAATAACAAGAATAAAAGTAATAGAGTTAGATAAAGTTGTTTGTTTGTACTATATATGCATGTAAAGAGATAAAAGGAAAGAATTTATTAATTAAATTATTATCTTTTAACTCTTTATGTTTATTATATATATAAATATATAT